TAATAATAATAATAATAATAGGTGCCTGAACAAACCTAGCACTTGCCAAGACAAGCACTGGGATTCATAACTACGCCACGGAGCCCCGTGTGAACTGCCTGGCTCTCTCATCTCAAACCCAGACTGACTTCACAGACTCGTGTCCCTCTGTGAGGAGCCAACATGTTCCACAAATAATACTGCACACTGACTGAACACTGCTTGAAACGTCTGGGCTACTGCAAACCTGGAGCCCATCACTCTTGAGGGACCCAGGGAGGTGTTGTTACGGTTACGCCAATATGGGGTGATGGCGGCCACTACCAAAAACGACTTAGACTTGACCTTAACACTTCCTTCTTGTTAGAGTTGTGCAACAGTGCGCTCACTAAAACCCATTGCGATGATTCTTTAGATTGTAGTCGAGGTGTATTTCTGTGTTAGTCCCAGTGGTCTATCTTCCTGTCTCTCTTGTTCCCATTATTCCTGCTGATGTCTGCACAATGTCTGCTCCCTTCGGAAGGTCAACAGAACTAGATCATCCATCACAGGAAAGCCTTCATTTGGATTGGTAAGTGTGTGTCTGACACAGTTGAGTTAGTATTTTATATGCTGTGTGTTGATGCTGGTACCAGAGTGGATCCAAGCAGACACTATAAGCTCTGATGATGGATTTGTTTTGGATCGGGTCCTCTAGTTTAGTTCAGCCTTTATAAATATGAGGTCGGGTTGCTTTGGTGACTCTGCACTGAAAAGGAGAATAACTTAACTAATGGTTCTTCAGTTATTGCAGGGGTTTTCCAGACAGTGAGACCCTGTACTGATGCTGGTACATGTACTCAGACCAGCAGCAGCTTATATACAGACTGGGTCTAACCCCAGCACACTGCGCACCAGAGATTTGGAAACTTGACACTTGAGGTCCAACATTTACAGAGGTCAACACTGGCAAGTAAATTAAACCATTAGTCATCCATTGAAACACACCTTGATGCAATCCACAATACTTGGGACATCTCCCCTGACTCTGGTCGGCCCTCAGCCGGCATCCAGACCTTAGCCACTCTCAATTGTAACATTATTTTCCTCTTTTTAAAAAAAAAAAATGTTTTTTCCAATTGGAAATATGCAAAGTGCTCCTCTGGAGTGAGGCAACTTGTGTGCAGAGCATGCACACAATGATTGATCCATGTCTCTCTCATAAAAGATATAATCCACATCCTTTTTTTTTCTCCTCTGAAGCTAGGTATCTATACATAATCCATACAGATATTTCAATAGTTTCTGTTAGCTATGTTGATTATTATCGTCTCCAGGGGCTAATACCTCTTAGGTACGCCACCATTTCATTGGGAGACGCCGCAAAAAAACAAAGAAAGAAACAAAGCAAAAAAAAAAAAGAGAAAGAAGAAGGGAGGGTTGGGGAGCGGGGCAACAATCAGAAAACAATCTATAAACCCAAATATAACAAGAGAAGGAACCCAGATTTCTAGGTTTCTAGGTACAGAATCTGTGGTTTGGACACACAAAATGTGCTTCCACCTTCAGATCGGAGTTCTTTTCACTTTCTCAAAGAACATGTGATGCCAAGAGGAGCTGCTGGGTAAAAAGGGTTCAGTCTGTGCATACTGGTTAACCAAAGGTATTGAGGAGGAGGGTAGGGGGGGCATGGAGGGGTCAGTTTCAGGTAGTGAAATGAGATGGAACCAGGAGGGGAAAATCATCTGGCTTCTCTCTGAGAGGAGACCGTCAACCCCCCTGTGAATACTGGGAATCTGTGGACATCATCCTCTGGTTGGGCTCCGTTATCGGTCTGCTGAAGGTGCAGTCGGGACGTTGCTGCGTCTGTCAGTCCTGATTAGTACAACTACAGTATGTCCCGTGTTCATTCGCCTGGTGACTGTTAAAGTCTGTAACAGGAGAGGCTGATATCTGAAATGAAGAAACCGATGACCTTTTGATGGGGGAATGGTGGGAGCAGACTAGCAAAGGAAAAGGTTTTTTCCAAAACTCTGATCACATAGGATTCTCTTTTGTACACGTCTGCACCTTTTGTCAGTCCTTCCAGTTAATTAGCTCTGATGGTAGCAGGGGGGGAGGGGTCTCCTCAAAATTTAGGGGTGCTTCCGGTGTCGGAACTTGGAACTGGCCCTTTTGACGAGATGATACAGGTGTGGGTGCTCAGCTCCCCCCCTCCCTCCACATTCTCCATTTCCAGAATGGGCTCTTCATCCTCTTTTCAAGAGCAAGCAGAGCAGTTACTAACCTAATATTGTCTGTTTTTGTTCCTATCAGTATTTTCCACTTTGTTACTTCAAGTTAGCGAGCTAACACTTTTTACAAAGCTTCAAAGTCATTAAACTTTATGTTGCATAGCAACCAGAATGCACCCTGTTGATCTTCTGTTACTAGCAATATTCATATCTAAGCTTTATAATTGAGTGGAGGAAAAAAATCCTATATGATTGTGGCCTAAAGCGGCCCTACAATGATTCACCGTCACTCCCCAAAGTAAAAGGAGGAGACAGCAGAGAAACAAAAAAGAATGGACCAAACACTTATAAAAGAAAAAAAGCATAATGAGTAATAGTAACTGAAGCAAAAATGGTAGTTGCAGGTATAATAATAGTGCTACCAACAGCGATAATAATGGGAATTATAATTGTTAAACAACGCTGACGAAGAAGATTTTTACTATAATAAGAACATTTGAGATGCACTGACAGTTTAGTGTCTTTGTCCGACTTGGTGGGTTTTCATGGGTTGGTTTAAGGTAGGCACACGGACAGGCACTGCATGCGATGGGGTGGGGTGGGGATGTTGGTTGATCTGGGAGTGCTTCAGTATGGGGTAGGAGGGCAGGATGGGGAGGGAGGGGGTGGCTTCAGAGGGGCAGGAGGACTAGGCGGGGCTCATTTCTGTCCGGTGATGGACTGCGATATGGATCGAGGTGGGATCATGTCCAACAGGTACTCTCTCTGCCGGTCTGCTAAGCTGGAGCTCTTGTGGGCTCCAACTGCCGCTGGGTTCAGATAGGCAATATTTAACCCTGTGGGAACAAGACACACACATGAAGAGTACCCTGGAAGGCAAAGTAGTTATACATTATGTCATATTCTAATACATCTCCCTCTTTTCTGATCTGCTTAATACCTTCTCTATTAGGGGTGTCAAGATTCTCCAAATCCTCGATTCAATTTAATTTTCGATCTTTTTTTAATATT